ACATTCCTGTATTGGATTTGAATGAGTTTTCAATCCCAGTGGTTATATAACAATGGGAACACATAGTCTCTTCCTTGTTCTGACTTCTTAAATGGGAAAAAAACAAATCAGGGTGTGTATGAGGTGGAGAAGAAGAATGAAGATTGTGATCTCAGCTGATGAAAATATATTCCAGATCCAAGATTATGTTCCAGGACTCTTTTATTGGAAGAATAAATAGTGGATCTTGGCATTCTAATGAAAGAAACATTAAGGATCCAATTGTCCGGGTCTGATAAGACCAAGCCCTTAAAATATGGAGGTCCAACCTTTTGGCATGCCTGGGCAACACTGAGTGAAGAGAAATTGTCTTGGGTTGCATATAAAATATATAATCTAGTTAATGTGTATAAATCACATAATGATGATAAAAGTTTATGAGCTTGTGGAGCATCATTACTAGCTATCCAGGGGCACATACAGCCCGTGGGCTGTGGGTTGGACATGCTTACCTTATAATTTTGTCTCTGGATGAAAAGATATACAGATATAAAATACAGAAGAAAACATTCTTAAATGCATATTGGCTTCACCAAGAGCATATCTGATTCATCAGGTTGCTCCCATTAGATCACATCTTGAAGGAAAAGTTGAATCCGGAATTGCATTTGGTTAGGTAAATTTTATGGATAGACTCTCATTCTTAATTATAATAGATGCCACTCCTTGAGTCAGCTAAGTGCAATTGGTGAAATCATTCTCAGCTTGAAGAAGGATTTGGCACAGGAATGTATTATGCATGGCAATAGATAAGATCTCATTCCATATCACTAGAGTGATCAAAGCTACTAAATTTCTTTTGTTGTTGCTTGTACCCTTTTCTTGAGGTTTCTTCTTATGCTTACTTAGCAGGTGCTACAAATCAGATGAACAGGAGGATGAAAGAACAATCACATAGAAACTTAGAAATCTAGAATATATCTGTTATCACACTGTGGTCTGTTCATCTGGGAAGTAGAAATAATCATTCTTCATCTTGCAATATTCTTATGTGATAAGAATTACTTCTGAAGAAACATCTCATCTTGTGTTCCATGATGTTGTGGTGGGTAATTTTTCTGCAAAGTCTATACCTTGAAATGCTGATTTACCTTGAGGAAAGACTACAGCTTGGAAAATATTCCAATTTCATAAAACTGATATAGATGGTCCTTGACTTATGACCACAATTGAGCCCAAAATTTCCATTGCTAAGCAAGACAGTTGTTAAATGAATTTTGCCCCATTTTATGACCAAGAGCTGTGGTGGCATAGTGGTTAGAATGCAGTATTGCAGGCTAATTCTGCTCACTGCCAGAAATTTGATTCCTTTGATTCTGACTGGCTCAAGGTTGACTCAGCCTTCCATCCTTCCAGGGTCAATAAAATGGGGACCCAGATTGTTGGGGGCAAAATGCTAACTCTGTAAACCGCTGTAAAGGGCTGTAAAGAACTGTGAAGCGGTATATAAGTCTAGGTGCTAGTGCTAAGTGCTATTACTTTCTTGCCACAGTTGTTAAGTTAGTAATATGGTTGTTAAGTGAATCTAGTTTCCCAATTGACTTTGCTTGTCAAAAGGTCGCAAAAAGTGATCACATGACAATGGAGATGCTGCAATGATGATGTGAAAAATGGTCATAAGCCACTTTTTCAGTGCTGCTCATGAATGGGGACAAATTGGTGGCTGTATCTGAGTTGCTGTTATACAATCTGGGGACAAACTACTTTGTTCTATTGCCTTAACAAGGTCTCCAGTTTTCTGCAGCATTCAGAAGCTTCATAGGACTGTGGAGACCTCTCTAAGGCAGTTTGTCTAGTGGCCGCCATTTTGTCCAGACCACAAATGGGAGGACAAAATGGCAGCCGCATTAAGGTTACTGCCCCAAAGGCCAGGGACAACCTGCTTTATTTTACTGCCTTACCAAGGTCTGCACAGTGCTGCGAAAGATTTCAGAAGCTTCTGCAGCACTATGGTGACCTTGTTAAGGCGGAAAAATGAAGCAATTTTTTCATCCTACCACATCTTTAGTGTATGGCCCAAGGACACATGGCCTTTCTTCCACATCCTGAGGTCTGGAGGGTTCAAAACGTAAGTATGAGGCATGTGGGGATCAGGTTGGGATTGGGAGAGAAAGGTGAAAAGGTGCTGCAGTGGTAAGGGCAAATGACTGCAGGCCCCCTGCAGCTATCATAACTTTGAAATGGGGATATATGGGACTTTTGGGGGTGTGTGGTCTATAATAATTTCAAATGTTCATTAAATGGCCTTTTTTTCAACCCATTCAAAGCATGAATCTTTTGCAAAAGGTTGCCAGGACATCTAAAGGGAAAATATGGAACAAACTTGTATTCCTAACAGCATCTCCTTTGGCTCAAGAGGGTCCTTTTTCTTCCATAAGACCAATTAGAAAGAGATTTAAATGATTCTGACTTAGGCTGATTTATCAAAGGTGCCCAGTGACTGCTACACAATAGCTGTCATAACTGCAGTTGAATTACTGCTGCCTGTATTGTTCCATGCCCACAACTCTGTATGGCATTTCAGAATCTGTAACTCTTGTATTTCTGCCTCTTGTGACATCATGGCATCCAAAAGTGCATCCATTTCCTCCTGATTTCCTGATTTACTGTAGGCAGTAAAAGCCTTTACTTCTAGCTGGACCCACTTTGCTAAACAAACAAACAAATAAATAAATGCTGAGATGGAGTTTGGAAAAATCAAGAATCATTCCAAGTCAAAACATCAGAGCAAGGCTCCCATTATTACCTTGCAAATTACTAATTTACACACTTACTGTATTTCTCAGAAAGCAATTCTTAATATTTAATCATTGACTATTGTTAGTAGGTCATGTATACAGGGGCACTGCTTTTTTTTTTAATGTTTGAGTCAGTCTTGACTCCTTGTGACTTCCTAGACAAGTCCCTGCAGAGTTTTTTGGCAAAATTTCAGAAGGATTGTCTGCTTCCCAGGACTGAAAGAGAGAGACTATCTGGCCGAAGATCACCCAGCTGGCCTTGTTGCTAAGATTGGGCTAGAACTCAAGTTTCCTGATGTATATTGCACCAATGTGGCTCTCTGCATAGTTCTGGTCTTTTTCATACTTAGTGTTTCAGAAATGTGATATTTGATGAACTGTACTAACAGTATGTATATATATATGTGTGTATGTATGTACAGTATATATATCTGTTCAGAAATAGTACAATACCATGAGATTTACTTTAGATAAGCAGGTACAGGTTTGTAGCTAAAATCATTTTCAGTGATTCTCAAAATTTCTGAAAATTCTTCAGAAAACTGTAATAAATAGAGGTTTATGTTTTTCCCAAACTCCATAAACTTTTATGGATAGGTTCAGATTTACTTAACTACTGCTTTAAGGTATTCTGTTTGAGAAAAGATGCCAAAACACTTTTTGCGCATCTTTTTGTTCATTCCTATTTTTATATTTATAGAATAGCTGTACCAATATATTGTTAGGTAATTGTGATCAAAAGCACTATATAATTGCAGATGACTGATCAGTTCTTGGACCTCACTCTGTTTCTCACTGAGGCCATCTTTGAAATAGTTCAGTGAAAAACATCAATATAAAAACATATATATATATACAGCATTGTGTATGTGTTTTCTATTGTATAAGTATAAAAAGCTACCCTGAAGCCTGAGAATATTTTATTAAATGAACATGAAGGGGGTAAAAATAATTAATTTGATGGGTATGGACAATTGAGAACAAAATAACCCTAACCTTAAGTGTAACCCTAGCCCTATATGTCTTCCAACATATTTACATCTGGATATTTGTAATATAAACATTGCTGTAATTTTTCTTCATTCCACATTTCTTAAGCATACTTAAGAAAGAATACTTGGAGACCCTTGAAACAAGTAATATAGATTGGATTCCATCATGAAAGGATTGCCTCGAAGCCAGAGTCGCCTTGAAGCAAGATGGGCAGCAAACAAATCTAATAAATAAACGAAAGCTTATTTACCAAGCTACACATATCCTGTATAGGCATTCAGCATGCTTTGTGTGCTTTAAAAAGTATATAACTATATAATTATACAACTTTCAAAGGTAGGCCTTAGATCCATAATAATACCTACAGGAGTGCTATGTCTTTAAGCTATAAAATGATTGTTTCCTTAGACACAGCACTAAAATATATAATTTGCCCAGTTAGAAATTACAACTAATAGCAGCTCAAATTTAGAATTTATGGAGTGCTATGCAAGTGAGACCAAACAATAACCACAGTTAATGCAGAACAAGAGAATCTGTTGGGCTCATTCCAATTTCTATGACTCTTTTTCAATTCACAAGATCCTGTAACTCTTTTGAAATCTATTTCTCATTATTCAAAGTGTAAATTCTAGCAAGTGTCCATTTCCTCCTTTTTTTTCCTCCCTCTGTGCTTGCCCAAATGGGATTCTTTATATTTTTGATGTGCCAGTGGAAGCTTAGAAGCCAATGTGACAGCAAATAATAGGAACAGTTACAGACTCATTCAAATATCTAAAATGTTTCTACTCTGTATGCCAAACTGATCCAAGCTATAACTTATGCAAGTTGAAAGGATTTTGGACCAGAGAAATTGATTTAACTTAGCAAGATTGGATGTGGATTGGCATTTCTCCAAACAAGGAATTAAAAGAAACACTTGGCAATACATGAAACCTACATGAACAATAATGAAACATACATATTTTAAGGTGTATTTTCTCAGCGAATGAAAATAATTTATTCCAGTCTCTTCTGGAATTGGTTCGTGACAACTATGTTTGATTAAACTACTGTCTAACCACAGCAGTTAGCATGATTGTAAGGAGTTATAATCCAAAATATTTAGTTTGGAAAAGTTAATCCTAACTTTTCCAAATGTTCCAATATTGTTATATGTACATGTTAAGAAATATTGAGAAAATGTCACTAAGTAACACATGGAAATGAAAAATGGGAATAAGGGTGCAATTTATTTATTGTCAAATTTATTGTCTAATTTATATAGCCATCCATTTTACAAAGCAAGTGACTTTGGATGGTGTACAACCAGGCTAAAAAAATTAGTTACTAATTATCAAACAATTATTGTTGTTATTATTGTTGTAAACATATAAAAACAAGCTAAAAAGAAAAAAAATGGTTGAAGTGATGTAAATAATAACAGAGCCACCTCAATAATTCACTAGTGCCCTGGGGTTCCTAGGCCTGATGGCACAAGCAGGTCTTGAGAGATTTTTGGAAAGTCAAAAATGATGAAGCCAGCCTCACTTCAAGATGGGGAGGATATTCCATAATATGGGGTCACAGCGGAAAAGGCTCATTGCCTACAGCCCAACAAATGTAGCTCCCTAACTATTGGAACCAGAAGCATTGTCTCTCTGTTGGATTTGGTGGGACAGACAGATGTAATTGGGAGAAGTTTTCCCTAAGACAACCCTATTCCATTACAAAATTGATGTAGCTATATCTAGCTATATCTGCCAACCTCTTATTTCCTCAGCTATTTGATGAAGATTTTACAACCTTCTTTCTAAAGCAGTCGCCATCTTGTTTATTCCCGGCTTTGACTGGATCATGATGAAGATTTTTCCTTTATTAAAAAAATAAAAAAGCTCCTACTTTTATTGCCAGCTAGCCTGTTCCTTGTAGGAAATCTGGAGCACTTAAACAACTGATAAACAATTGTTCATTCTTGGGCTTGTAATCCCGGGGCTAAATCAACTGTGTAGATCTTATTTGCTCATTTGTAGTCAGGTAGCTTCATGATGGCAAAAGAGAAAGTATGTGACTTGTGTTTAAAGCAATTAATATATACTTCTAAGAAATATCACTGCCAGTGAGATCCCCAAATATCAAATATAATGCTTCTTGGTCAATGTCACAGTCAGTGCTCTTCCTCATATAAATATTTACACTCTCTGATATATTTCTCTATCATCTATTTTCTCCATCTGTGTCCTTTATTTAATCATCAGAAATGTAACATTTTGACAGCACATACACAATGCAAGCCCTGTTTTCTTTGAATTATAAATATCATTGAACTTCACAATCCCTTTGAATCATGTATGAACTTTAACATCTCACACCATTTATTTAAGAACAATGCAAATATTACCATCTTTAAGTTCAATTTTAATCCAAGAAACTATTTTCTTATTGTTCTGCCCTGTGCTGATCCATGCTAAACTTAACTAAACTGAACCTAGCAGAACTTATTCACTTCAGCGTAGACTAGCTGTGGAATATAATCACAATAATATAATTAAATCTATACCCAGGAAGAGGGAACAACCCCCTTCCCCTCAAAACTGGAAATTATATCAGCTGTGCATAAACTCGACACGACAATTCAGCGCTATGGTTCAGCCAACATAACTAAGGAAAGCCAAGAATTCTGTCCACCAGAATTAATGAGCACATGATTTTCTGTGCTGCTAACCCACTAAAATTGCTCTTCTCTGGGCAGATCAAATGTTGTAGGGTTAATAAGAAACCTTTGATCTCTGATGTACTGATATCAGAACAAAATTAAATGAGCTTGAACTAGGGGTGTCAAACTGTTGGCCCACGGGCTGGATGTGTCACATGGAAGCCGTGCCCACCCCATTGCCGGCAATGGCAAAACAGTCCCAATACATCACGTGACATCACGTGATGTCGCGAGTTGACATATCTGTTGACAAATCTGGGGAGACCGAGGTTGTAGTCCACTCTAGCCATTGAAAACCTTGGAGGATTTTGGGCCAGTCTCTCTCTCTCTCTCAGCTCAAGTATCTCAAAGAGTTGTTGTTATGGGGGGAAAAGGGAAGAGGAAATACAGTATATACAGCCCTGAGGTTCTAAAGGAAAAGTGAAATAGAAGCAAAGGAATAAGTAGCACACATACAAAAGCTATGGGTGTTCTCTTTTTTTTCTCAACAGCCAAAGTAATGGTTCATATTACAGTTTAAGAATGTGCTTGATTTAATGATTTTTTTTCCTCTGAAAAGGCACAGATTATCTGAATAAAAAACAACCCCCCCCCGCAAAACATCTTGTCATATTCGTTGTTCTGGGACTGCTATATTCAGAGGGATTTGGGAATTTGGGGCTCTTTTGCAACTATGGGTTTATCCCAGCTGATCTTAAATCCCAGTTCACGCAAGGAGGTGTGTGTTAGATCACAGTAGAGAATCTGAGGATGGATTATATTTTTATATCAGTTTTGTGCTGCAGTAAACTTATTTTCTCATCAAGTTCTAGATTGTTGGTACTCTTTATGTCTGGGAAGATGGGAGACTAGTTCAGATGGTACAAAGCCAGATATCTGATGGATCCTGGGGGTTTTCTGAATGCATTTGGGGATTTTTCCAGTGATTTTAAAGACAGTTTCATCATATATCTTTGGAATATAGGTAGTCTTCAGCTTATCACCACAGTTAGGACCAGAACTTCCAATGCTTAATGATCATTAAATGAATTTTGTCACAGTTGTTAAGCAAATTGTCATGGTCATTAAGTGAATCATTAAGCCAATTTGGGTTCTCTGGCTTCCTCATTGCATGTCAGAAGCCGCTTGGGAAGGTCACAAACAGCGACCATATGACTCCAGAACACTGCAAAAATCATAAACACAAGCTAGTTGCCAAGTGCCTGAATTTTGATGATGTGATTGTGGGAACAATGCAGTGGTTGTAATGTGGGAAATGGCCATAAGTCCCTTTTTTCAGTGCCATCATAACTTTGAATGGGTATTAAATAAATGTCTTAAGTCAACAACTACCTGTATAGAAATGATTAGGGCATTGGACAAGATTGCTCCCATGTGCCTCTCTACAGTTGCTTATCCTTGGGGAAGGGGGGGTGCCTTTGATTTACTGAGGCAATTTGGAGAATAAAGCCACCATAGATTTGCCTGGAATGATATTGGCAAAGGAATCCTGGAGTGAATATGACTGAATCCAGATTTGGGCCTCCACTGTCATGATAAGAATGGCAAAGTATGAATAGTTCTGCATTCTTATTACATCTTTGTCCAATGAACCTGCTCAGAATTACTTAGATATGTTACGGCAGGAAAGGCAAGACATACTTTAGCACAGCGGTCCCCATCCTTTCCAGATTGGTGGCCCGGCCAAGCCCGTGTGTGTGTGTGTGGCATGCACACACTCGCATGCACACACGGCTCCACTGGTGTGAGCGGCTGGCAGAGTTTGTGCTTGCACATGAAGCTCTACTCGCACGAACAGAGAGTGCTTATGGGCAAAGTGCCATTTGCATAGCCCAGTTTTGAACAGGCTGCAGATCGATAGTGGGCCACGGCCCAGGGGGTTGAGGACCCCCGCTCTAGATAATGTCTTCCAGTTCCTTTTCAGATTTAGTCATTTGTGTTTGGTTGGATTGAATGCAGCTGGGCGTGATCTAGCATGATGAGTGAGGTAACCTCTTACACAGGGATCTTGTTCAGCCTGAGGAGGTTGAGAGGATCTTCTTTGATATAATCAGTGGATTGGACAAATGCCTAACCTGGATGGATGGATGTGGATGGATCTTTGGGATTCAGGAGTTACAATATTAATATCTCTTTGAGGGAATCTTTCCCAAAAATGCTCAGAGCCTTATTTGGGCATATCTCAATATAAACATAGTTCCAGAAAAGCACATAGATATAGGTTGCTGAGATGCTAGAATTAGCTTGCTATTGAGGTGTACAGAGAGAAACTAACTCGTGACTGAATCCTAAAAAACAGGATAGCTTTTCCCTTGGTGCTAGTAGTATTTTGTGATATCTTACCACAAGTTTTTTTTTTTCCTTCTGTTCAATCATGGCCAATTCAGAGACTGCCTAGACAAGTCTCTGAAGTTTTCTTGGCAAGGTTTTCAGAAGTGGTTTGCCATTGCCTTCTTCCTAGGGCTAAGAGAGAGTGACTGACGAAGGTCAGCCAGCTAACTTAATGCCTAAATTGGGATTAGAACTCATGATCTGGTTTCTAGCCAGATGCTTTCACTACTACATCAAACTGGCTCTCAGAACAAGATCAGCATAAACTTAATTTTTGCACCATCTTCCACATAAAAGCAGTTAATACACACTTAATAACTACTTTATCTTCTGTAAAATATTCATTGTTAGTCTTTTATAATGTGAACATACTGTAGATTAGAACAGGATTGAAGTGGGTGAAATCAGCAGAAACGTTGAACCGGTCTAAGAAAGAATATGGATTTGAGATATAAATACTAATAAAGGAAGATTTTTCTCACTCTGAAATGTGCTTTTTTGAAAGCTTGCATCAGACACAACAGATGCCATCAAATGCAGATAAGTCACTTATCTTCACACATTTGACTGCCTCGGAGTTGGAATGCTGTCATAATCATCTGAATATGTCAGATGATGATCCGTGAGAAGTGGCTGATGTTCCTCCTGTCTCTTAGAATATACAATACAAGAGGCAGCCGCAAATATAATTGCAACCAGGATCAAAGCAGCAACTATTGCAATCGTTATGATTTCAGTCACATGGAGAGCTGGAGCTGAAAGAAATGGGGGAAAAACACAAAGAGAGTTTCAGTTTTGTATGCTGGTTAACCCACTTGGGAATTTATTTTTAGACAATGTGGAAATGAACCTTATTCCAATAATTTCAGAATCTTATTGACTGGAGCCTTATCCCTCTAGAAATAGCTATTTTTTAAAAAATGTCCCCTTAAATTGCCATAGATCTAAAATCATAGGATTTATGTGTTGTTTGTTTCTAAGCATTTCTAAGCTGCCCAGTTCCCAAAACCATTCTTTTTTCTTTTTTTAGCCAATTGAAATACTGAATTGATGGAATGCATCCTATAAGAGTCTGAATTCAGTTCAAACCTTTAGCTGTTTACTCTGAAATATAAACTCATGAAATGAAATGAATGCTTTTGGTAATATTACTAGAAAATATCATGTAGTCAACTCAGAGAATTTGTTCTTCGTCATTAAAAATCGGGCTGTTCATCAAATCAAGACATTGCAATTTTTAATTGATTTGTCTTGTAGATTTATTTGCTGTATTTTGCTGATTCTAAAAAGGAGCATTCACCATTTATCAAATATTTTTTCTTAAACAGATCAACCAAGATATTCCAATTTTAAAAACCATGTATTTGATGCTTAGCCTGATTAGTATTTAATGGTTCAAACAAGTCAAAGCAGCTGCAAAAATCAGTACAACCCATGATGGTTATTTTGCACATGATATATCTGCAAATAGTACATTTTCTTTTGATCTAAGTGAAAAAAAATGTGCTGCATGATGAAAAGAAAAAATACATAACTTACATGGCCACTGAACTTCATAACTGTAGCCCAGGTTTTCTGGTGCTGTAACAAACATCTCATCGTTGGTTACAGGAGGCCAAAATGGTACCATATTGTACTGTCTGTTGTGTCCAATGGGGGCATTTTCTAGTGGGTATGTTGAGTTATCTAAAGAAAAGGAAGTAACTATTACAATTTGAAAACTTGGAATTAAATATTTAAATAGGTTTTCAGGTTTGACATTATTTGTGGCAGATAAAACAATACGAAATGTTAGATTAAACAGCAGTATCTGCCTACCTCAGGTCTTTGGGAAGGACTCGATAGATGGACAAAAATGCCCAATCCAATCTTAACAGGCTGACTATGGGACCAAACATAATGTTCACCTAATACTCCCTGGCTTCCAGTGTTATTTGGTTAATTAATGGACTGAAAAATCTATGAATTATTTTATTAATAGAGGCAAGAGTGATGTGCAAATAAAGTGAAGCTTTCAGTCCTGAATCAATGTTTCATGCTGATATATATATATATATATATATATATATATATATATATATATATATGTGTGTGTTTTCTGAGGTTTTCGCGGGTGTTTGTATGTAGGTCTTTGGTTGTTCGGGTTTTCTCCCGCGTAAAATTGGAAGTGTCTTGGCGACGTTTCGACGAAGTCCCATTCCTCATCTTCAGGCTGGTGTTTTCAGCTTCGTGCTTCGAGCAGCAAGCTGAAGCACGAAGCTGAAAACACCAGCCTGAAGATGACGAATGGGACTTCGTCGAAACGTCGCCAAGACACTTCCAATTTTACGCGGGAGAAAACCCGAACAACCAAAGACCTACATATATATATATATATATATATATATATATATATATATATATATATATATATATCCAAAATAAAATGAAGACCAAGGTATTAATTAAAACTATAAAAAGTTTAATTTAAAAACGCCAAGCTTTCGCCGTCACCTGCCGGCATCATCAGGGCTGGACCGCCAGGGTGTGAGAGACTCTGTAAACTTTTTAGAGATGGCTGTAAAAAGCACTTTGAAGCAGTATATGAGTGCTATTGCTAGTCATGGGTGGGGAAATATATATATATATATATATATTTGTTTTCTGAGGTTTTCGCGGGTATTTGTATGTAGGTCTTTGGTTGTTCGGGTTTTCTCCCACGTAAAATTGGAAGTGTCTTTGCGACGTTTCGACGAAGTCCCATTCGTCATCTTCAGGCTGGTGCTTTCAGCTTCGTGCCTCGAGCAGCAATGTGTGGTCTTAGCTGTTTCTTCCTTTTAACTGCCAGTGGGGGTATGAACTGATTGGGTGGGAGCTTGGCTGTGTTCTGATTGGGTGGAGGTGTGTTCTGATTGGTTAGGGGCGTGCTCGAGGCACGAAGCTGAAAGCACCAGCCTGAAGATGACGAATGGGACTTCGTCGAAACGTCGCCAAGACACTTCCAATTTTACGTGGGAGAAAACCCGAACAACCAAAGACCTACATACAAATACCCGCGAAAACCTCAGAAAACAATATATATATATATATATATATATATATATATATATATATATATATATATATATATATATATATATATACACATCCTTCTATAGATGCAAAACCACACAAAGCTTAGAATAGATTCACAGATAGGACCACTCAATATTCTATAATAATGTTGTTTGTTGAGTGAATCAAAGATTTGCAATTGTGTGTGTGTGTGTGTGTGTGTGTGTGTGTATTTCTAAACCATTCAGGTGCCTTAAAGCATCTGAAAATCTGAACTTATACTTTGGAGTCTCCCTGTGAACCTTCCACAGAACTTTTGTACTGAAAAGTAATCTAGAACCCATTCTAAAGTAAGGATGGTCAATCGGATATACTCCAGATGTTTTGAGCATCAATTCCACAACCCCTTGACAATGACCATGAAGACTGAAACTGATGGGAGTTGAAATCCAGGTTGTTATTCTGGTTTTAAGGAATTTTCCCCACTCATGACTAGCAATAGCACTCATATACTGCTTCACAGTGCTTTTTACAGCCCTCTCTAAGCAGTTTACAGAGTCAGCTTATTGCCCCCAACAATCTAGGTTCTCATTTTCCTGACCTCAGAAGGATGGAAGGTTGAGTCAACCTTGAGCCCTGTCAGGATCAAACTGGCAACTGTAGGCAGCTGGCAGTCAGCAGAAGTAGCCTGCATTACTGCATTCTAATCACTTGCGCCACAACGGCTTGTGAATATTTGTGATATTCACAAAGTGTCACTTTTGCTTCATGGAAGCTGAAAATTTATTCATGCTGAATATTCAGGCTTGGACGTTGATCATGGTTGCAATGAATAAAACTGAGCAAGTTCTTAGTCAACTACTGTATTAATTTTCTGCTGACATAATCTTGTGAGACTCATCATGCCTTCCTATCTTTCAGTGCAGTTGAAAGTTGTTGCTCTCATGGTACAGTCTCTACAATTTTCTTTTTATTATCATTTTATTATTCTGCAAGACTCACAAAGAACCATTTAACTTCTATGGTGCCAGTTCCTTTTGGCTGTTATTGCTCAGCAAAGCATGGCATGAACTTAAGGAATTCTCCTGCAGCAATGAACAGTCATATGAATATTAAGAAATGCCATTTGGCATCTTCCACCAGCAAAGCTTGCCAAGATGTTCCAGAACAATTCACCAACATGCTGGGAATGTAAGAAAGTACATGGAACATATTATCATTTATGGTGGACATGCCCAGTTGCGAAAAAATACTGGACTACAATAAGAAGATGGATCGAAGAAATAATAGACCAACCCGTAGACTGGAAACCAGAGATCTTTTTGCTGGGTATTTTAAACACAAAATATAGTAAAGAAATATGGTACTTAATTTTACATATAATAACGGTGGCAAGAATAGCATATGCACAGTGCTGGAAAAATGAGAATATACCATCAGAGGAAGAAGTGATAAGAAAAATCCTGGACTGTGCTGAGATGGACAAATTAACAAAAGAGATAAAAGAAAAGGAAGACACAGAGTACTATATAACATGGAACAAGTGGTATGACTGGTTGGAGACTAGAAATAATAGAGGAGAATAAATATGGAAAGGTCAAAAGTGAAAATATGTGTATAATAATGTATAATAATAATAATATGGATTATTCTTAGTAAGAAGTAGAATATGAAGGAAGAAAAATGTAAATAAGAAACAACGGGGCAATAAGGACAAATATTCTAAAGAAGAATAAGGGGGAAAATGTAAATAATAGAAGATTGCCGTTATGTAATCGCTGTTAAAAAAAGGGGGAGGAGTATATACTGTGTGTGTATGTGTGTTATATTTTGCTTTGTTTTGTTGGTTAAAAATAAAATAAAATAAAATAAAGAAATGCCATCTGACTTGCTATTAAAACACACAGAGAGTGTTGCCATAAGATTTTTTTTTAAAGATTATCTTCAAATGTATACAGTACAACAGAATGTGTATTGTTTTGCTTTTCTTTTGGGAGATGGAAAAACAGAGAGCTACACATTCGTGAAGTTAGGAGATTACAAAAAATGTTAGTATTTCTGTTTCTTGGATTTGCTGATACAAGGAAATACCAGAAGAGCTTATGATCTTCTGGTATGGTTTATCCTTTATCAACAGTATATACAGTAATTCCTTTTGGGGACTAGATTTTATTCTGCTTCTAGTAAGAAGAGAGAAAGGATGATATTGCATTTGGTTGCCTTGCTGCAATGGGATCTTAGCATCTTCTCAAGCATTGTGTTGGGTATGGATTGTACCTCGGATTTTATACAGAGGAATATCATAAATTCAGACATCTCACCAGGATTATGCCTTCTCAGCCATTCATCAAAAACAGCATCTGTAAACGTGTGGAGGAGGACAAAAATGGGGTCATTTGGGGATAAATGAGTTTGCCCTCCAGTTCCATTCAAAAAGAGATGAGCCAGATTGTGAAGGCTTCGCACTGCTGGATCATACTTTCCTGAAGGATTGCTGTAGCCTGGACATAGGAATAAAGAAGAGGAACAATTGAGAAGCAATTCTGGAACTCTTGCCTGTCCTAGCTAAGCACAATCCTGCCTAGCATAACATCAGAAAACTGTCTTGATTTTCTTCGCAGAAATTGCATTGCGAAAAGGCTAGGCCAATTATACATATAAAAAAACGGATCATCCCATAGCCCTGATATAACTTCTTGTTTCCCAAGAACAGATAAACTTGAGATTAGTGATTTTTAGCAACATATTACAATATGCCGGGCTCAGATGTTTGTTGCACTAAATGAGGTGGAAGACATGGAAAGTGATGAGGAAGGGAAGAGGGAGAATGTGCTTTCCATCTTTGAATAAAACAATTACTTTGTATCAAATTGGCAATAATATAGTTGTATTATTGTATGCATTTAATAAATGTGGGTGCTCCTCTGCTCTCCAGCAAACAAGATATTTTTTTCAGTTCTCCATGTGTGAAGTGACTTTGGGCTTCTGAAAAACCCAACTGTTCTAGCATTCTAGATTCTTGGCATGTATGAATCTCAATTGTTATTCAGCCTAACGATAGGATGAAGTTAGGTGGCTGTAATTCGGGTGAATAAAATTAAGTATTTAGTACAGTGTATCCAGCATCCTGTATATTAATTCCTTGCAAATTCATTCTTGCAATATTACTATGCTTTTTTTTTTTTAAACGCACTTGTGGAACAGCCCTTTCTAGGTTCTGGGATATTTCTCATTCTTAAAACTCTGTCTTTAAATATGTATCTGGTGCTGACTATGTTTTTAGCCTTCATCAAAATCTGAGAGAGTAAAAGAAAGAAAGAGAGAGAAATATTCTCCTGCTCACTCTCATCAGGAGCTCAAGAGTTTTTATAGGAGACCAAAAAATAGTCAGTACCAGATACATATATAAAAAAAATGCTCCACTCAACTGAAGTGCCTGTGGCCAAATTTAAATCCACATAAATAACTTTGTGCTAATTTTTCTCAGCCCTTTTCTTTTCCACCTCTCCTCCATTTGCTATTGATGTTCTGATGTTTGCCATGTCTTGGCAAAAAAAAAAAAAGAAAGAAAGAAAGAAAAAAAGAAAGAAAGAAAAGAAAAAAGAGAAAAGAAAAAAAACTAAAAATAAAATATCCATGTTGTTCAATGCTAGTAAATACAAAGCAATTAAGCAAAATGCCAGAACCCGCATACTTAACTAATAATTGGGAGTTCACACTCTCCTATCAGGTGTTGGTACACTTTAACTGCAGAAACCAGCTTAATTGTACCAAAATGTTATTCTAAATATGCAATAACATAAGGAAAGATGATGCAACCAATTATTTCCCAGATATACTTATCTTTTTTGTAGGATTGAGGACAAGATGACATTCTCATCAATTGAAATAGGGTACGGGATTATATATTTTCACCGTTCAGTCTTGTAGGTGAAATGTAGGTGAAATGTATTGAACTATTTGATCATGTCAAATACTAAGCTGTAATACTGTATTGAATGGGACTTCTCCAAATGTGATACAAGTAAAAATACCCATGGACATGCCTGTTATGATGGCTTAGACTAACCACGATAATTTTCCTCTGAGACAAAAAGCCAATGTTGTTAAATGAAGCAATCAGTAAACGAGGACTACCTGTATTTCTTCTGCTGAATTGAGTTTCTGAATTGTTTGCTGTCGGTGGTTCTTTTCTGACTTGCCTCCATATCTTAATATAAGGATAGTATATCACCTAAACTGGGCCTGTGTAAATGATTTGTCCAGTTGGGCCCATATTATATTTAACTGTATTCAGTCAACTTATTTAATTAAATCAAAGTTGATTGGCGGAGCCGCTTAATTTAATGAATTGGGAAAGGTCATGTTAATTTTATTTAGAATGCTTTTTGTACATTAGTAAAGTCCACTTTGCACAATAAAAAATGATGCCTACTATAAAACTAAGATTATATTACCAAAACCTGGTGGCAAAATAGCAGAATTTCAGCAGCAGCATTTCAAAGGGGTTTTCAAGTCTTAACAGGGTTTGAAGGATAGCAACAGTAGTAGTTTATCTCCCTAAAACGTCATGTTCCCATTCTTACATTAAAGTAACCCTGAGGACTATTTTGGGCCTACTTTCTGAAATGGTGTGTGTGTGTGTGTGTGTGTGTGTGTGTATGCGCGCACAAGTTTGTGTGTAACTTAAAGGATGGGAATTCTAGCAGCGTGCATCTCATTTCCACATTTAACCCCACCCCAACCCCCAATTTTAGCCTTTCATTTTCCAGAGACATCTCAAAATGGTTTCCTGGGCTCACCAGAAAGTTGGGAGTTTCCATTTGACCCTGGACCTCTTAGGGGTGGGCTACCCTGAGGCTTGATAAATCATGATCTAATGATGGATAAGACATTTGCTATGACCTATATTCCTCTGCCTATGTGTATGGCCTCTAAGTATAATATAATATAATATGCAGAGAGATGGACATTTTGAGAATATCACTGCTTTTAATAAAATCAAGAATATGCTATGCTTTGAAGTATTTAATAATAATAAAAAAATCATTTCCTGGACAAAGTACTGTAAATCTTAGCCTCCAATAGTATTGCTGCTGATGCTGATAAGGCCAACATTTGCTTTAATTTCACCAATAACTGGCAGTTCCTTTTCAGATTTAATCATTTGTGTTTGGTTGGATTGAATGCCAGTTGGGCATGATCTAGCACAGGGGTAGGCAACCTTGGCTCTTTTATGACTCATGGACTTCAACTCCCAGAATTCCTAGATAGCAGAGCATGCTGGCTCAGGAATTCTGGGAGTTGAAGTCCACAAGTCATAAAAGAGCCAAGGTTGCCTACCCCTTGTCCTAAACCATTTCTTTTCCCACAAAAGGATTTGAACAGTTTTTACCCACTTCAGTGTGGGTTAGGAGTATGGTGGATTTCACCTTTGGCTTCAAGAGTTTATTTGTTTGCTTTGGAGTGACTTGCCTTCTATGGTGTTACGGAAACTGTCTGCTGAATTGGAGTAGAATGGAGGCGTGTCAAAGAATCCGACTTCTAAGCAAAGAGCAACATCCTGAGGCTCTGGAAGGCGCTGCACCATGGGACGGGCTACGTTTCCAGCTGGATTGCGTCTAATTGGACCACCTTCTGTGCCTGACATTTGAAAAAAAAAAAAAACAGGCATGAGGCAGGGGGAATAAGATTTAATGGATTATCAGGTTAATCTCATAATCTAAGAAATAATGCAGGGAAGGCATTTTAGGGAGAAAAAATCCCATATTTTTCCTTTTTAGCTAAGAACTACTCACAGTTAATGTTGCATGTTACTACCTAACCTGCTGAAGTCCTTTTATTTTTCCAGAAAATATATAGGAGATTTATACATGATCTGCTTGTGCTCAATTGTTATGTTTTCTCCCTTAACTGGAACTTTATTTCACTCTATTTATGCATTGGTTTCCCCCAAAGCAGGCTGGATAAAATAAAATAAATGGTATTAATTTGCATATACATTGTTTCCCAATATGTATGAGCTGTAAATTAAACTATAAAATTCCAAATGTGCAGCTATTGATATATAGAAGGTATGTTGGTTTTTATGTACGTTTGAAGAGGGTAAATTGAATCACTTAAACACAAAACATTAGTTTGAATAGATCTCTTTCTCTGCTACTTTGGAGCTCTTGTATGGTAGTAGAAGGAGGGTGACAGCAGTATCATTTAGGCTTATATAAAGCGTAATAGAAATCATTGTGATATATAAAATTAAGACCTACTTTTAAGAAATTGAGTCAGAAAGATTCTTATTTAATTTTTGCCTCTGCCATTAATTAAATTAATGGCTTAGATTACAGATGTAATGCTGAGACACTAGGACAGGGGTCTTCAAACCTGGCCCTTTTATGACTTGTGGACTCCAACTTCCAGAATTCCTCAGCCAGTGTGGCTGGCTGAGGAATTCTGGGAGCTGAAGTCCACAAGTCATAAAAGGGCCAAGTGTGAAGAGTCCCTGCACTAGGGCAATGTTTCTTAGCCTTGGCAATTTTAAGGAGGATGGACTTCAATTGAATTCTGGGAGTTAAAATCCACCCATCTTAAAGTTGCCACAGTTGAGAAACATTGGGCTAGAATCCCATTTGTCTCCCTCAACCTCTTGGTCACAGCACATATAGCCTCTGCAAAATGTTGCAAAATTGTAACTTTTAATGAAGTAGTGGGGAAAAAATTAACACAGGGAAGAACCATATCAGCTAAGATATTTTTAAAGTTAATAAAACCAATGGCTTTTTTCTGGACCTATCCACTTTCTCTTTTGAGCTCTGTCCATGTTTTTGAACTGGGACCTCCAAGTGTGGATCTCAAACCAATGTGTCCCAGAAAAAAGCTAGACATTCTGCCTTCAGCAACAATCATATACACACACACATACATATATGCATACATACATGCATACATAACTATTCACATTTACTGAGACAGTCTTCCTGGAAATAAGAATGATTAACATCTGTTAAGATACCCATAGACTGGCTTTGCAAGCCACTACTTTCCCTCATCTTCTCAGTATGGCAAAAATAATATTATCTGACATTATAGTATTGTTTTACAGAATACTCAATACAAAATACTTTAAATAATATTTGTCATGTGCTTATTCTGTTAGGAAAGGAAGGCTTTACAAAATGGGATGAAAATTGCTGAGCTGTGAGATGTCTACTTTTTTTTTATTGAACCTAGGGCTATGCAATGTGGATCTGCCTGCAACCCATAAGCTCTTTTTTCAGGATCTTGAAATCCCCTGAGTTTGTTCAAGAACTCAAGAGCAAATCACCAAAATAAATAGATAAAAATTAGAAGTGAGATTTCTTGCAAATTGAGACAAACAAAAGAAAAGGTTACCACTCCCCAAAAGCCCAACCAAGCAAAAGCCATAAATATATCATCAGAAATATATAACATGTAATATAATGATATAATTACTTCACCTCCTACAGGTCTTGGTTGTTGGGGAAAAAATATTAAAAATGGAGTCATTGACTAAGAAGGACTTCCTCTATTCTAAACACTGAAGCAGCCACATAAATAAAGTGACAAAAATTGTTAGATTAAATATACTTTAAGACAAGCCAGACGTTAGGGGGCATGTAGTCTATGTTTCTGTACAGATCAAAGAAACTTTTTTCTTCTTGCTGGGTGATGGGTTGCATGACCTGATTCTATTTATCTTCAGATCCTTATACAAGAAAAGCAAGGCAAAAAGTAGTTTAACCAGGGTAATGGAATGCAGCTTGCCAAACATCTCATTATTTGCAGCCTAAGAAGAAATTTAGAGAATACAGAACAACAGAGTTGGAAGATACCTTGGGGGTCTTCTAGTCTAGGGCTTTTCAACCAGTGGTATGGGTACCACCTGTGGTACATTGGCACCTGGCAGGTGGTACACGACCATCCTAGAAAAGTGATAGCAGGGGAGGGGAATGAGCTGAATCAGTGGCAGCACTGCACAAGCCTGAGCTTGTCAAGGCTCAGCAGAAGTGCCAGGATCAGTGCCGCTTTCCAGCTGATCGACGCTTTTTGGGACTGTCAGGGCTCAGTGGAAGTGCCAGGATCAGCACCAGGTTCCAGCTGGAGCTCGGCGCTGATCCTGGTGCTTCTGCTGAGCCCTGAAGAAGCACCAATCAGCTGGAATGTTGCAGCATCTCCAGGGTCTTGTGATTTACATTCAGATGCTTGGCAACTGATTCATATTTATGACGGTCACAGTGTCCCAGGGTCATGTGAAGTGACCAAAACCTGTTGCAACCACCCAGCAGATGGGGGGGAATAAAAACCAAACACCCTCCCCACCCCACCCCTGCTGCCAATCCTCAACATAAATGCTCACAACAATGAAAACCTCAGACAGGAGGAAGAGCGCTACCAGGTGGGCAGGCAAGTATCTTGCTCAGCTATGGGTTTTTTCAGTGCCATTGTAACTTTGAACAATCACTAAGTGAACTGTTGAAAGTCGAGGACTACCTGTACTTTATCACTTTTTTCCTTTTTGGGGGGGAGGTCATCAAGTTTTTGACACCTTGCTAGGCAACTGGTGGTACTCGGATGTTGCCATATCCTAAAAGTGATACAATGGGTGAAAAGGTTGAAAAGCCCTGTTCTAGTCCAATCACCTGGTTAAGCAGGAGATTCTATATCATTCTGGACAAAGGGCTATCTAATCTCATCTTTAAAAAACTCTCATGATGGAGTACCCACAACTTCTGGAGGCAAGCAGTTCCACTGATTAATTGTTCTCATTATCAAGAATTTTCTCCTTAGTTCTAGATTGAATCTCTCTTTGATATATTTTCACCTGTTACTTCTTTGGGTGCTTTGGAGGATAGGTTGAGTCCCTCCTCTCTGTGACAGCCCCTCAAATATTGGAACACTGCTATCATGTCACTCCTAGTTCTCCCCTTCATTAGACTAGGCATATATTTGGAAGAAAGCCGAATTTTCCTCAACATCCAAAACTGGAAGTGTTTCACATTACAGTGATCTTGATCAATGATAAAAAGTGTTCATGTCTTCTGAATGAAATATATAACATTTTGGGTGTATGTGTACAATTTGAGGTAAAGATAAAATTAAGCTTGCTAGGTTCCATATTTGATATCTTTATTAGTCTTAAGGAAACTGTGATAGCAGCTAAATAGTACTACAAATCTAGGCTTACTGTTGCAAATGGTTCCCAATACATCGTAGTCTTCAATAGCCTCACACAAGATGCGCCACTGGGAGAAGATTGAGTTGGGGCTGATAAGAGAGTCATCAAAGCTGCTTCTGGATCCCATGAGATCATCTGTACAGATGTCACAGCTGTTCCTACCTGTGGCAAAGTTCCAATAAGGAAGGGCAAAAGAAGGATCCTGTAGCATATCCTGGTGGATAGAATATGGGATTCATGATGAACCATGCTGTGTTGCAGACAGAACCACACAATTCACAGGGAAATGCAAATCATTCTTGGCAGTTCCTTCTCTAGCAGAGCACCATAATGAAGTTGGAACTTTGAATATATGGCTCTGAATATGATACTTCTTATTCTAATAAGAGACATTTGTGTGGAAAAAAACATATCCTATTTTCATCCATCGGGAGTGGTCTTGTATACTCAGAGTATCTGCAGCCCGGATAGGTCCCTGGTGCTTTTCAGATGTTTTGAACTAAAACTGACTAATCTGATTTTTTCAGGATATGTGTATGGTTATGGGAATTTTGAAAGGTTTTATATTTAAATAATTGTCAAACAGCAGGTTGCCTAGGCCACCCAATATTAACTATTTATAGCAGGGGTGTCCATCCTTGGCAATTTTAAGACTTTTGGACTTCAACTCCCAGAATTTCTCAGCCAGCCATGAATTCTGGGAGTTGAAGTCCACAAGTCTTAAAGCTGCCAAGGTTGAACAGCCCAGATCTACAGTAGCTTTTCCAGTAGCTTCTTTTAGGCAAGGGAACATCGTCAATCTTAATTGAAAATGAGAAAGGGCTTGCCTGTCCTTTGATCTGATACTAGGGAATATAAATACAAATAATTTACCTGAATATCTCTTTCCAGTTGTAGCAGGTGATATCTGTGCCAGGTGAGAAATGCTGGTCCTTCATGGGAGAAATCTACTCCACCAAAACTTTGTTGTCCAGGCCCAAGATAAGTTTTTCTGACCGAGTAATAATGAGACCACACAAAATAGTTATAAATGGACACATTTTCAAATTGTGGAATATTGCCATCAGGACCCAAGATCTCCTCATGTCTCCTTGTTGCGATCATAAAGTCAGGGTGTGTTGTTGTTTTGGCTTGCTGTAAGACTCTTAGAAATTCTCTCCTTTCTTCACTACTGAAGTCCAGAAGATTTTGTCTAACTGGAGATCAAGGAAATAGAATTAAAGCCATATTAAAGGAACAATGATAACATGAACAGAAGACTGAAAACACATGCTTATCAACAACCTGGTTAAAAAAAGATCTCAAATCAAATTAAGTTTCAACAAGGTGTTCTACCTAGAGAAGATGGATAAAAATACTTGAATATTTTGAAATAAAATATAAAACCAGAATTGGGACTGCACAGAAGTATAGGCTATTATGTCATATAATTTAATTCAATTTAGTTTATAAATTATAAAGCCAGAGATTCTAAAGCAGGCTTCTATAGCTTCTATAGTTCGAAAGCATGCAAGTACAAGTAAATAAATAAGTACCACTTCGGTGGTACAGCACTCTGTGACATCATGCTGACCTGATCTATGGAAATGTTTTTGACAGTGCTGGCTCAATAGCCTTGAAATGGAGATGAACACTGCCCCTCATAGTCGGCAGTGACTAGGGGGTGAAATCCACAGGGATTCTTTTATTTTTTTACTTCTATAAATAATGTGACTATTTTGGGAGCTGGGAATTGGAATACCCTTTTGATGAAACCTTTCAGATTTTCTATGGTATAATAAAAAGTTTTAAATTAATATATCACCCCCTCACCCCCTCACTACAAACAGAGGAAATACCTTGTGTTTAGGTCTTTTTATTAATGCAATTGCTTTTGATTTGGTATACCATTTATGAAGCAAAAAGAGATATATGAGCCATTCTTCAGATACATAGGTTAACATCATCTCATGAATTTCCAAAAAATGTATTTAATGAAGCTCATCAATTATAAGAGGGTTCTGGATTCCACATTTCACTTCATATCTTGAATTGGCTTATCAATTAATACGCCCTTGAACGTGAATAAATGTGGATGTAGGTAAAATGCCTCTTGATGAATTTATCTATTTATCAGATTAATTGGCCACCCATCTTACCAAAGGATAACTGGGTGAAATGAATGCATGATAAATTCAGACTTTTTCCGGAAGTAGAGGATGCACCAAGATTTAGAGCTGCATTGCAACAGAAAATGCATCCCCACTGCATGATGAAAAACACATTTTCATTATCATCATTCACTAGTTAACAATTTTTAGAAACTTTCCCACACTGCCTATTTGGAATGAAGTTTCTACTAAGGGAAAGTTATAGTAATTGACATTTTACCTTCACTTAAACAAGCAAACGGGGCTGGCACCTAGGCCATTAAAAAAAAGTCAACAAAATACTTTTGCCACTCTGCAAATCTTGCATGCACATTGCAATCTGGAAACATTTTTTTTACTCTGTATTGGTAAGATGTAGCTGCTTTATGTATTTCTTTGGGGTATTTGTATATCACTAGTTCCAGAAGGATCTTTCATCGAGTTAATAAAAACAGTTAAAACAATATATCTCCATCACAGTCGCTCTCTCTATAAAATCACAACCTAATCTTGGTGTCCATGTCTAACGGCCACATTTAAATTTATTAACATCTTAATAACATCTTGGTAATTTCGTTACAATTTCTATGGAGGAGATCAGTTGTGATTACACTTCTGAAGTCCACCCATTGAAAGACTTCATCTGAAACTCCGATAGGAAACTATTTCACAGAGATAACTCATAAAGTAAAAAATATCATGCCCTTATTTCCCAGATTTGCACATGGAAAAGATCTCTAAACACAGCATTTGGGACAACAAATGCACATAGCAGGAGGCAATAGCTTACCCAGACACCATGCATATTATTCTCAGAAGCCTATTGGAAACTACAGTGGCACTCCAAAAACACTGTTTTTGACTTGGGTAGCTGTCACCTGCCAGCAAGAGATTCCCAAACTGCTCCAGCTGCAACTTTCTAATCCCATGGAAAACACATTTCAGTCAACATGATAAAGGACCTGTTAGGATCTCATTCAGGAAGAACTGAAGCCAGACAAAGCTTTCTCTAGCTCAGTGTTTCCCAAACTTGACAATTTTAAGGCATGTGGACTTCAACTCCCAGAATTCCACAGCCAGCGTTGCTGGCTGTGGAATTCTGGGAGTTGAAGTCCTCATGCCTTAAAATTGTCAAGTTTGGGAAACACTGCTCTAGCTATAGCCTCCACTGTCTATCTAGTATTAGCTGCGAGGTTATGCCTTTAGAAGGATCCCCAGTCATGGCTTTCTTATTTTAGGGACAGTATCTCCCCAATTATTATTACTGGGGCAGGAAAAAGGTCAGATGTCTTCTGGACAAACAATAACCCTCTTTTGCAGGGATTCAAACTCAGTTTCTACCCATCCAATTTCTATTGGGCTGCAGCCAATTAGTACTTCCACCCCAGTCCTGGATTGGTTGGGAAGAGAAATGTATAGCTGGCATACTGGTGGTTCTTCAACCCAAACTGGTGAATGACTTCTCCAAACATCTTCATATCTATATTAAAGAACAGATAGAAGAGTGTGATGGAATGTGCACTGCAGCAGCAGAGCGGGAGGATTTTGGCGGCTCACAGCTTTCCTAGAAAGAGACTGGATCAAGTCCTGAGCTAGATAGGGGAGGAGGAAAGAGGTTCGGGGCAACCACACCCTAGAATCTCTCAGGCTATATTTAATACATTAGAAATTTATAGCTTTAGTTTGACAAGATTCGGTCTATTAGATGTCTAACACATTGATGTCAGGTCCAAGCCAAGAGATGAGATAATGAGATCCAATTGAGTCCAACCCTTAATTTGCTTGAACCTAAATATATCCTGACAGATTTTAGGATGTGGATAACCTGAACCTCTTCATTCCTTCCCCATCCAAATTATGACTCTTGATCCAAGCCTTTTGGGGGAAAGCTGGCAAAATCCTTTCCACTCTGTTGCTGCAAGTGCACATTCCGCCACAGAGAATATCAAACTATAGCTGCCTGGATGACTTTTCTTCCCCATAACTAATTGGTACTGTCCACTTAGGAAGGAGAGGAAGCACAGTAAAGCTGTGCCTGCAATCCATTCATAAATCTTATAGATGCTGCAGAAAAATACCATGGTCAACAGTCTTGAAAGCTGCTGAGAGGTCCAAAAGGATCAGGAAGGATGCACTTCTCTTATCCAGGTCCTGATAAAAGATCATCCACCAGGATGAATGAAAGTGGATTCTGTCCTATATACAAGCCTGAATGTTGACCAAAAGAAATCCAGATAATCTGCTGCCTTTCCCAACATACCAAATGTAACCTCTGAAGGTTTGGGATACAGAACTAAGAACTGTTCTTAAAAAAAAGCCCTGAATTCTCACTTCTTCCTCGGTTTTCTGATTCAACACAAAGTATTTATTTATTGGATTAAATCATATGCTGGGGTTCAGAGGGGTCATTTTTATGGTCTAACAAGAATACAAAATGCTGTTGAAAACAAATTCTTTTACTGTTTTTTGAGGAGATTGTCTCAATTCGTGCATTACCAGTGCTTTTTTTGTAAAAAAAAAAAAAAATGGTGCCAGAACTCACACACGTCATACAACCCGCCTTGCCTACCCTACAAGGTTCAATCCCCAAAAGGTGCTGGAACTCCGTTCTGGGCGTTCTATGACAAAAAAAGCCCTGTGCATTACTGCCTTCTTTTTACTAAATATTGCGCTCACATTCTTTCATCTTGCTGAATGCTTGGTCTTGGGAAGTATTCAAATTCCAGGTAGCATTAGAAAGACAAATGAACAGCCATTTCTTGAAATCAGACATAGAAAACCTCATTTAGAATCATCCCTAATGGCCTGAACAGAAATATATTGCTATAGAGCTGCTGTTTATATCTTCTAGTGACCTTACTACCAAGAAGCTTTCAAACTAAATATATATTTTCTGATTTTTATATTCCTCCTCCCTCAGATCTTCTTGTTCTGATCATCATCACCTTTTTTTTTAATGGTGAAGGAGTGTGAAGTTGGAAGGTCCACTACATCACTGTGAAACAAGTTAGCACCAGACTGCCAATCCACTCATGAACATCCATGCATTTCCCAAATATCTACTTATGGTTTATTTGTTTTCTTTTCTTTTTTTTAAAGTCTGCTTTTCTTTTAGAGACTTAGGCTTGGGTGAGCAAGAGATGTAAAGATGTAAAGATACATGCCAACACATTTGTCATTTGAGATGATCAGGCAGGTACCTCATGAAGTCATTCTTCAAACACCAGTATTATTAGTGGAAGAAAGAAGCACCAGGGATCCGAAAAGTAGAACAGAAAGAAGAATGTGATCTCTTTCTTGCTATTGTGCTTACCTATATTAATCTGCTGATCACAGGTGGGACCAGTCCTGCCAGGTCGACACGAGCCACAGTTGTATCCATAAAAATTGTGGTTGCACCGACAAGTTCGGTTGAAGAAACGAAGAGGCCACTGCTCACGGTCATCTTGACCATCGTGCATATATTGAGGTCCATGGGGTCGGGAATCTGCTATCACTTGTACACACTGCCCTCTTCCAGAAGATGAGCCACAGCGATCTGAACCAGGAACCACTCCGGGAGACAGGTCTGGGCAACATTCACCTTGGATCAGTGCATCCACTGTAGTACATTCTCGGGGAAACTGAGCATTAATTGCTTCCAACAGGAGGAGTAACGCTATTGCAAGATGCATAGTAACTTTCAGATCCCACCAAAGCAAAGCTCTAAGGTTGTGTCTCTAGGTATTTGGGATATTCTCTTAATTTCTTTGTAGGAAAAGGGGCTCTGAAATACAGGAGGAAAAAAAGGATGTAAAAATCCATGTGTTTAATACTATAAACTCCTATTTCACCAATGAAAAGGAATCCTTGATTTCAATTTTTTGGGGGGAGATCAGAATGCAACATTCTTCCAGAGTGCACAGTTATCAATATCAACATTCAGAACAACAGTAATTAAAAATGTTGTTACTTTAGATCATTTAAAATAATTCTTGCCTCAATGCACTATAAGCCCCAGTATGGGGTTTGAAGAAAAAGATGCATACACACTTGTTGCAAATCCAAAAGAACCACGACATCCTTTAAGTTTAAACATTGTTTTCATCATTCCCGGAGAAAGCAGAAGCTGTAGATCCATGCAGCCATCCTTATATTTATATAATCAATCTATTTCAATCCACATATTTCTGTCCTCCTGTCTCCTGCTTCTCCCTCTTCGCAACATAAATGATCACAATTGCATTGTGCCCAATCCTCCAATTGTATTTCCAAGTATATCAGGCAAGAAATCTTTCCATGAATCACAACAATAGTTTACATTACCTAATAGTTTTAACATTCCTGCTCCAATAAACATAGTCCTGCTCCAAATATAAATTACATACATTATGCACTTTATCACTCTAATTTCTCTCCGATATATATTTTCCAAGATCTCTGCCTTTTACCTTTTTTATTTACAGATGTCTTGAGCCCTTCTGGGTAGAATTTTCCTTTCATTCCCCTGTTTTCCCCTTGTTTCTTTATTCCCGAACCAAGCAGTGCTAATTGTTTGGGATAATCTGCTTTCTAATCCTGGCCTTGCCAACTATTTGGTTTGGCACAACCCTTTCTCTTTCTCTATGCTTCTAATCCTTTTCTACCTCAATGGACTTCTTTCAATAAGTAGCTGAGCAGCACATGATGCTTTTCATGCTGATCTTGTGATTTTACAAGTTTTAGGAAATGTCACAGGCAAGTAATTGCAATGAAAACAGAGAACCCCACACTGAAGAGGCTTAGTAGTTTTTATGCCAAGTGCAACAAAACCCTTGTCTCTCTCTCTGTGTGTGTTTTTTTGTTATGGAATAAGGGTCTCCTTAAGGCATCTGATAAGTGGACCCCTTGCTGAAAGGCCTAAATAAATAGAATTTACCCTGTCCTGCTAAATTGATTGATTATGTGCCATCAAGTTGGTTTTGACTCTTAGGGAACACATGCATATATATTTTTTTCCATGACAATCTAGACTCCCCCTGTTTTTTCAAGTTTCTCAATGGTACATTCATTGCCATCGCAACCAAGCCCATCCACCTTTTTGAAGGGTTCCCTCTGTTCTTCTTCCTTCCATCTCTCCAAACATAAGAGCCCTCCCCCCAAGAGCTGGGTCTTTGCACAGTGCATGCAAACCTCTCCCATACAATCCTTTTATGCAATGGCATAGTTAGCAAACAATGCCTTTGTAATTCAGCAATTAGATTGTTTCAAAGTTGGATTCAGCCACCAGGTAATTTTCTGATTTGCAGAGATAAACCATCAATCAAAAATGGAACTTTTTGCTTTCTGTGAAACACAGAAGATGGTTTAAAGATAAACAATAGATAGAAGACTGAGCAGGACAAGTCTACCCAACCATGGGCATGTAGGAGGTCTAAGAAAGGAGCAGGAAAAAAAAAATCACATGGGATTGTACAGGCTTTGGAAAACCACAATATGTTAAGTTGGAAGCAAGTTTAAGGTTGAGTAGGAAAAATTTTGGATTCCAAGGCTCCTAAGATTTTTGTAACTTCCACTCTGTCTTTGATTTGTCCCAGAAATACCAAGTAACTTAAAGTTACTTGGTAACTTTAAGTTACTTGGTAACAGGGGTGTCAAACTCAATTTCATTGAGGGCCGCATAAGCATTGCGGTTGCCCTTGGGAGGCCAGGTGGATGTGGCTTACTGGCTGGGCATGGCCAGCTCTACATTGTTCATGTCAAGGGGGCCTGTGGGGGCCTGGGCAGGAGTGGGACAGATCTGAGGGTCTCTGGCAGAAGGGAGTGGGACCAGGGCAAGTGCCAAGGCATGATCCACAGAGGAGCCTCACTGTTCCTCTCAGGCCATGCGGGGGAGGGGGGGGCTGGATGGTGGTGCCACCACAAAATTGTACATTTAGCTCCCGGCCAGCCTGGGCCAGGGCCAAGGCAGCAGGGGCTGTTCCCTCACTGTTTCCAGGATGGCTTTGTGGGCCACATGAAACCACTTTGCGGGCTGCATCTGGCCCCCGGGCCTTTTGTTTGACATGTCTGGTCTAAAAAGATTTGTAGACAAAAATTAGGATTGGTTGCTTCTTAAAGATGATGGGAAGGGAAACACTTTCTGGAGTTTATTTCATTCTTCCATTTCAGCAAAGTTTCTCAAAGTTAGTGTCTTCCAAAAACAGACAAGAATTCTGGAAGCTGCAGGTCTAACACAGCTGAAGAATTCCAGGTTTGAAAAGGCTGCATTATTTTGCATTACTCAAGATATTTTTGGAGGCTTCCCTTTCCCGTTACAGATATTTAGACATTTTTCATTTGCCAGATGGAAGAGTCAAGACTTTCTTCAAAATTCTATTCTTGACATTACTCTGGAGAAATTGGTATCTTCAGATTTATTCTCATGGTAGTCTTTGTGGATTATTAGTGTGTCTGTTTTATGTTCTCCTTTTGTGTAAAAAAAACCCCTGAACCTGGAAAACCACTAATCAGTTGCTGTCCTAATACTTGCACACACACAAACACACATATCTTTTTTGTCACACAATAAAAACCCTAAAGGAACATAACTACCCCCAAATGAACTTCTATGCCTAAAGGCAGAGTAAAATCCAGTTCACTTCAGTCCTAGTTCAATATCTTCACCCTTACTGTTGAGTCCTTGGCGAAAAGCAGACACGAGAAGCAGTTGTAGTTCTCAGGTTTCCTTTTATTCTGTGTTCAACTTACAGGTGAAGGCTTCAGCAACGCCCAAAAGCTCCCAGCCTCTTATATAGGCAATTCCCGGGTCAATGTGTTACTTTTCCTGCGCCAGCACCCGCGCATGCGCACAGGCGCTGGCGACAGCCTGTCTGGTCCTGGGCAGCTTGCACCTGCCCTGGACTGCCTGCAAACGCCCCGAGCCCGTTTGCAAGGCTCGGGACATAACACCCCTTTCCCCCGGGCTAAGACTACTACCAACATACAATTATTTCTTGATGCAATGTTCTACTCCCCAGTGCTTCTACTGTTTACTGCTTTTGTTTGGCCAGCAATGTTATGTAATCCTCTAAGTATTTAGGAGATTTCCTTGCTCTCTGTGACCTTCTCAGCTCTGGGTTTCTGACAGGTGTTCCCTGACTGAGGGGAGACGTGAGCCTGTTCTCCTTATCACGCCTTGGTGCCTTCCAAGGACTGTGCCCCAATTTTGCATTTGTCTTTTTTGAGCTTGAGGCCTGTTTTCCTGAACCTTAACAGAACAGCCCTTAGCCTTTCAGCTAGAATGAGTGTGGAGTCTCCTGCAATTAAGACATCATCAAAGTAGGGGCAAACCCCCGGTATGCCCCGTAGTGTGTTTTCCATTACGCTTTGGAAAATCCCAGGAGCGACATTCACTCCAAACTGTAGCCTTTTTACCTTAAAGGCTCCCCTGTGGGTCACAATAGTCTGAGCTATAGCAGCATCATCATCAACAGGCAGCTGTTGATACGCTTGAGCTAGGTCAAGCTTTGCAAAAACGCGCCCCCCCTTGAGGGAGGCCAGAATATGACTGACCACAGGAACAGGATAGGCATGTTGCTGCAATGCCTTATTAAGAGTGCATTTGTAGTCAGCACAAATGCGAATGTCCCCATTTGCCTTTAGAGGCGTGACAATGGGGGTCTCCCAAGGGCTGGAATCAACAGGTTCTAGAATTCCCTGTTGGATCAGTTTGTCTAACTCAGTGTCAATTTTACTCTTTAAAGCAAAAGGGACCCTTCTTGCTTTAATTCTAATGGGAGTGACAGTGGGGTCTAGTTTTAAGGACACAGGGGGTCCCTTGAATGTGCCCAGCTGGGGGCTGAAGACATCTGCAAATTCTTTGCAGACTTCCTGTAGGTCGAGTGTTTGTAAGCTGTTGAGCCCCGTGACGTGTATCCCCAAGGCTTCAAACCAATCGAGTCCTATGAGACTCGTTCGTTCACCCCCTACTACTAATAGGTCTAGTGGACCTTCAAAATTCTTATACTGTACGTTAAGGGTGGCCTCCCCCTTAACACACACTCTCGAATTTTGAAAGTCTGTTAACACAATGTCAGAAGCCTTAATTTAGCCTGAGTTCCACTGCCGGAACAAATCTTCCTAAATGTATGTAAGGATATGATTGAAAGGGCAGACCCCGTGTCTAGTTCCATAGTTAATGGAACCCCTTGTAGCTTCACCTTGAGTGACAGCTTTTTCTTGATGGGCTTGTGTGTGCCTGTCCTGAAGATGCTTCTTCGCGAAGCGCAAAAACCTATCCTATTCTGGCTGGGGACCCTGGTACCTTTCAGGCGCAGTTCTTCCTGAGGTTGTACCTTTCGTCGGCCCAGACACACAGCTGTAATATGTCCTTGTTTCCCGCACGCCCAGCAGATAGCGGAGCGCAACTTGCAGTCAGTTCTCCTGTGGCGACCTCCACAGCCGATGCACTTAAGAGGAGGTGCAGAGCTTCCTTTCTGATTCCCTTCCTTCGTGGGGTGGAGACGGTCGACTTCCTCGTACGGATCCTCCTTGGAGTTCCCTTGGACGTCCTCTTGGTGCACGGATGCAACATCTGGACTGTTCCTGATCGGCCGCATGTTTTTGACGGCGCCGCCTGCTGCTTCTTCTGCGGTGACCTCTCTTAAGGCATCTTGGAAGGACAAGTCTTCTTTGGCGAAAAGCCTCTGTTGTAGATCTCGATGCCTTAAGCCGCACACGAATCGGTCCCTCAGTCGTTCTTCGAGGTCCTTGAACTCGCAGTGCTTGGCGGCCTTCCTTAATGCGGCGATGTATTCTTTGGCCGACTCTCCGGATCGTTGATCCCTCTGCTCGAAGGTGTGGCACCATGCGATGACGGACATCTTGGGCTGGAAGTGCTCCTTCAATAGCTTCTTTAGATCTGCGTAGCTGACAGACTCTAATGGGACAGGTGCTGCAAGGTTCTCTGTGATTTCGAAGGCGTCTTGACCGCAGACACAAAGCAGGGTGGCAGCCTTCAAGCTATCTTCTCTCACTTGGTTTACCTTGAGGTAATTTTCCACCCTGGCTACGTAGGACTCCCACCGCTCTGGACATGAGACGTCGAATTCCGAAAGCCTTCCAACTTTTGTCATTTTCAGGAGATGGGTCTATCAGCCAGCCTACCCCCGAATGCGCACTGGATTGGCGGGTAGCTGCCGAGTTAACGCCGTTCTGCCGCTCAGGACTTACTTGGGTAAACTTACACCTCTTCCTTTCCAGGCGATGTAAGGCATCCCACCCTCGTCGCCAGTGTTGAGTCCTTGGCGAAAAGCAGACACAAGAAGCAGTTGTAGTTCTCAGGTTTCCTTTTATTCTGTGTTCAACTTACAGGTGAGGGCTTCAGCAACACCCAAAAGCTCCCAGCCTCTTATATAGGCAATTCCTGGGTCAATGTGTTACTTTTCCCGCGCCAGCACCCGCGCATGCGCACAGGCGCTGGTGACAGCCTGTCTGGTCCCGGGCAGCTTGCACCTGCCCAGGACTGCCTGCAAACGCCCCAAGCCCGTTTGCAAGGCTCGGGACATAACACTTATGTTATAGTGACTTAGGAACAGTTGTATGAGCAACCCTTAGACTGATGCTATCACCACTTGTTTTCTTCTACGGTT